ACCTCCTTGGTAATTCCAGGATGATAGAGAGCGTGGTTGATATGGAGGATACTGGACTGCTGTTTTCCTTTGGTTGCTGTTGTATTGGGGCCATGCATTCTGACTTGTCCAATAGGTTTGAGGAGGCGGTATGCATTGAAAAGGTTGAGATTTATTTCCTCTTAAACCCATAGGTTGTGCAGACTGATTATTGGAGACCGTCTCATATGCTCCTGAGAGCGGGTTTGGCGGCATCCCTTGGTGTGGCGGGACATATCTTCCCGATATCGAGTACTGTGAAGACGCTACGTGTGGGTCCGTCCGATATCCTGAATAAAATATGTTGTGTTGGTCTTTCAATTGGAAGGAAGAGTTATGATTTGGCCATGAAGTCAGATTCGTGTTGACCTCTATATTCGGTTGAAGCATACTCGAACTAGCTTCTTGATAGTGATATCCTGGTTCATTTGTTAGAGAGGGTTTAATCCAAGAATATCTAGAGTTTTTCCCAGCTCACTTAAGTCGGGATGTAATGCCATACTGCCTTTATTCATTCTAGCTGAAGGCTCCGAAGGAATAACATCAATTTCTAGGTTTTGATTGTGAGGAAGCCCCGACTGTGTCCTAGTTGCCTTGGGGAGATACATAAAGTCGGGATTGTCACTGAATGCATCACTGTCATCAAGGTAGTCTTCATTCAATGAAGTATCCAGTTTAGGTTGTTTTCTAATAGCCATCTTAGCTTTTGCGTAATCTTTATATTTGTCCATTCCCCTAGCTGTGCCAACAATAGGCTTGCTATTATTTTCGGCATTGGTGTTGAGCGAAGTCAAAAAGCCTCTGGATGCTCTTTCAGGGGATTCTGCGCAAGTATCACTGTAACTCCTTTTGGATCCTATACCTCCAGGATTACTATATGGTAAGTTGTTGCCTGAAGCTGTAGAGACTAGATTATTGATTCTAGGAGTAGCAGTATCGCAGTTCACCGTATTTAAAGTGATTCTGCAATTGCTTCCTGATCCTCCGTCCTTATCAGGTTCGAGAGAACATTGTTGGTCTCTACTCAAAGCACTTAGCTGATTATGCAAATTTGTAGGAACTGATGGCGGGGTTTTGTTCTGTGATTCAAGTAGCATCTTCCTCCTGAATTCCTTACTCTGTTCAGCAATGGTGTCTAGTTGTCTGCGTTCAGTTGTCTCTATATTTATATCACCCTGTTGAGGTGCTTTTGCATCGTCAGAAGTAAGTTTGTTGCCATTATTTCTCCTGCTTTCAAACCTATTCCATTCGTCAATAAGTTCATCTACAGACATTAATGTCTCGTATTCTGAAGGCAATCCCCCTGTATATGAAGAGTCTTCCGTGAGCTCAAACACAGACGCATCATGTATATCCCCATTGTATACTACGTAGTCTACTTCGACACTCTTCTCTTGTTCCTGAGTTACTTTCTTCCTTGGCGAGTTCAAATCTGAGCTACTATAGTCTTTATTTAGCACAGAGCTAATAGCTTGCTGGGAAGCCTGAAGCTTGTGACTACCAGAAACTGTCATATTCGAAGTCTTGTTCTCTGTTTCCAGAAATCTGCGCTTGGTTTATGATTTGTAAAGTACGTTGTCGGCGGAATCTTTTGGTGGATTCACTAATTTTCCAGATGTGACTTTGACAAAGCCATCCCTCCTAGCGGTTGTGGTGTGTATTGAAAGAGGGCAGAGTTATAGTAAATAGCTGTCTTTGTGATATCACTACCTTCGCCAAAGAAGGCTGAATTAGATCCAGATAATCGTCCTTTCTATCTGATAAATCGGGATTCTAATGTTTTCAGGATGAGTGAAAACGTCAGCAATACTTTTGTACACTTTGTCATGGAGAGATGTGGTAGATCGAACGTGACTCCTGCAGGGGCTGAAGGGGGAAGTTAGTATAGATTAGAATAGAATATCTGTGGCACGGTTCTGGAATCTTACCTTGGCTGTATATTATAATTGTGTCTAATGCAACTTGAACCATGCAGACAAGGTTTCTCAGTTGAGAACGTCCTAGGCCACGGACAAGTTAGCGTATAATGCAGTCGCCGCTGGAAGATGAAACAAAAATAAGTAGCTTGGGGTTGGAGGGCTGAGACTGATGTGACATTATGTTAACAGAGGAGTAACTGCAGGGGATTTGGCCGGAGCAGTAGATCATTTGCGGGGTGGCTATGGCTTGGGGCCGTGATAGTGTATATGGTTAGTTTATGGGAGTCAAAATCGCTGGGCTCTCTCTCTCTGCTGAGGAAAGACTTACGTATGAACGGGCAGCTGTTGTTCGATTGGGTGTCAGTTCCTATCACGTATCCGGATTGCGGGGGATGGGGGGAGGCATACGGAAAGCTGCATCTTTGGTAAAGACTGGTTTGAAATCGGCTATTGTGAGGGATTTTATATTAGTAATTTGAATGAATTAGAATTTCAGACAGCTTGAATATTAAAAAATGTCTTTGTTCTTCAAATTGAAAGATGTTGGAGATTTTATAGGTGAGCTTCTGGGTTATATCTTTTAGCTTAAACGGCCGCAGAAAAACCCAATGGCCAACTGGCCCACGGCAAGGCGCTTGAGTAAGTTTATCATGTCTCACCAATCGTTTCAGTATATATTAACATCCTTCCCGCTACGAATCAAGAGATTGCAGGTTCGATCCCTGCGTTGGTCAGAAAAATTTTTTCTTCTTCTTTTTTATACGCAGAATCTCTATATATTATTGAAAACACTTCTGTAGAAAGTGACACCGGGCAAATTACATGATAAAATCAGAGCGATTTAACGTAATTCCGGTGCACCGGCTCACCCTGTCCACCGGCTCAGTGAAATTTACAGCGAAAACCAAGAAAATTAGGATACTAATAACTCAACAACCACAATGCTAAATTTTATAGGTATTAAGTTTACGTTTAATTATCACATGCTTAATCATATATGACTATTTTTAAAGTTCTCAATATCATGGTTAAAGAGAAAATTACATAATACCTGAATTATAACGTAAATCCCTGTTCAAGCGAACACCCCATTCTAACGAACACTGAAATTTACTGCAAAATTGAGGAAATTCAACTTTTTGATATCTCAACAACGAGGGAATTCTATTTAATCAAATTTTGTTATTCTTATATCTACTTGATAATAAATATATGCACAAATTTTTATGCTGTTAGAATGTGTAATATATGTTGTACAACAAAATAGATTTGAATGAAAGGTCCAAATGTTAACTTGGTAGCATTATAAACATTTTGAGAGCAAAATAATCAAATAATTGAAATTAATTCATAATAGATAATCTCCTTCTAATGTGTCTTCCCTCAAAATTCTATGGTTGTTAAGATATTAAAAGTTGAATTTCCTCAATTTTGCGGTAAATTTCAGTGTGTAACGTTCCTACAAGGGTCTAGGGTTATCTATCACTCAAATGATAGATGAAGGTAAAGGGCAAGAGAATAACTTCACGATGGTTTAGGATAGTTACTATGAAATGCAGGTATGCTGTAAATCAATTGAGTTGAGCACGAGGCTCCTATCTACTGTACAACTATCTACTTATATAGTATGTGTTGGTGACTGGATCCGCCTGGATCCCTATGGTCCTGGATCCAGGAGATCCCATCCGGTCCTATTTGTCACGTGCTCGCTTATTTGCTAGTACTAGCTTTTTGCACGTACAAGCAAATAGCTAGCACAAGCGGAAAGGTAGTACTATTTTCCCGATAGTACTACCACCTAGCTAGTACAACCAAAGGGTTAGTACTATAATTTCGATAGTACAATCCTTTAGCTTGTACAACCCTTTTTACAATACTAGTGTTGAACTTGTACTATCCTTTCGCTAGTACTAGTAATGCGATAGTACTAGCGATACCATAACCAGGTCCCTGTTAGCCGTCTTATCTTATACTTATTTAACTAAGGCGACGGCTATAGAGGCCCTGTACTTAAGTCGCTTGTCACAACCCTGCGGGGTCGTGACACAGTGTTCGTTAGAATGGGGTGTTCGCTTGAACAGGGATTTACGTTAAGGCAAATTAGGATTTCTTCATAATTATTTGAAATTTATAGTTAACATTTAACCTATTATATAATCGAGATATATAATCAAAATGATTATACTAATCTACTATTTGAGTTATAACTCTTTATAATAGAGTTATTATCCAGTTATTGGTATATCATTTTTATTGATCTTCGCTGTAAATTCCAGTGAGCCGGTGCAGCGGGAATTACGTTATTGGTTCGTAACGTAAATCCCTGTTCAAGCGAACACCCCATTCTAACGAACACTGAAATTTACCGCAAAATTGAGGAAATTCAACTTTTAATATCTTAACAACCATAGAATTTTGAGGGAAGACACATTAGAAGGAGATTATCTATTATGAATTAATTTCAATTATTTGGTTATTTTGCTCTCAAAATGTTTATAATGCTGCCAAGTTAACATTTGGACTTTTTATTCAAATCTATTTTGTTGTACAACATATATTACACATTCTAACAGCATAAAAATTTGTGTATATATTTATTATCAAGTAAATATAAGAATAACAAAATTTGATTAAATAGAATTCCCTCGTTATTGAGATATCAAAAGTTGAATTTCCTCAATTTTGCGGTAAATTTCAGTGTTCGTTAGAATGGGGTGTTCGCTTGAACAGGGATTTACGTTATCGTATATTGCTTATGTAATTTACACTTTAAAGGTCGATTTTAATTGGTTCGTGTGATCTACAATTACAGCGAAGAAGCCAGGCAATGAGGCAATGAGGCAATCAAGCAATCAAGCTCCAGTAAAGTTCATTGATTATAGTAACCAATATTCTCTCTCCCATATTAATTGTATGCGTGCTTGCCTAACCATTGAGCCATAACCTCTGACAACGGAGAGAGCTGAAATTGATACACGTGACCCTAAAGCATCCCCTCCTCCGAGCGTAGCTTGTGTTCTTCTGTGGTATCTTTTAGTTTAAGCGGCCAAACAAAAATCCAATGGCCAACTGGCCCAATGGCAAGGCGCTTGAGTAAGTTTACCATGTCTCACCAATTGTTCCAATATATATTAACATCCTTCCTGCTACGAATCAAGAGATTGCAGGTTCGATCCCTGCGTTGGTCATATACTTTTTGGAGTGTCGTTTATTAATTTTCTTTTGGAATGACTTCTTGTACAGCCAACGTGGCTAGTAATAAAAAGTACAAGAAAGGCTCGGTACTGCTCTCCAAGCGAGGCTAGGCTTCCTTGTTGCTGATAAAGTAGTTGGCATGGTAGTACCTAGGTCTTTTAACTTTTTAGTGAAATAGAGATCCTTTCTTTAGCGGCATCAAGATACTACCGTAAAGTATGCGAATTTTAGCGCATCAGGTAATTTTGTGGAATAATCTATGGTATTATTCCGTACTATATCAGCTTCATCAAACAATGCTCCAACATGGATATTTTTTACAATCACCTTTAGGTCCCAAATGATAGTTTTTGGCTATCTACGGTAACTCCGAAGATGCAGCAAGGTCGTGCCCGCCACTCCCAGTAGGAGTGGGGCAATAAGCATGTCTGTCGACGGTGTGGGAACATGGGTTACACCTTAAAGAATTGCACACTTTGTAACACGTGTGTATGGTGCAAACGCAAGGGGCATTTGATCTTTGATTGTTCGGGCGCGCCTGCTTGTCCACATTGTGGAGATAAGGGACATAAACCAGAGTATTGTTTGCAGCGCCCCCTAGCAACGAGCCAACCGCCGAAGCAATCAAGTACCGGTACCAGTAAACCTGAAAGCCAAGGGCCGAAGAGAGGCAGAAGCAAAAGCAGCCTGACCAGCAACCCAGAGCAGCTACCGTTACCCTTAAAATCCCCCCGCATGATGCGCTCGAGTGGCTGGGTTTGGCTCTGGAGCTTCGTGAAGTAGGTCTCTATCGCTTCTTTAGATGATAGGTATTACTAATATTCTTGCTGGAATATCACAATCCAAACAGCAATTATATTTCCCCATCTTGAAAATGTCAGTATTTCAATACTTGAAGCAATCATTCGAGGAGAGCTTCCGGGATCAAGTGCGTACCACGACGCTATCTTTCAACATGGTGGTGTAGTAGCCGTCAGCCAAGAGCTACTTAAACACAGAGACGAGCATATCCTACCATTGCAGGGTAGATCTATAACACCAGGAGTTCTTAATACGGTGAAAGAAAAGCAAGGAACTGAATGGGTACGATCTAAAGAAAGCTGCGGATACTATGCCTTTATCACGGATGATCGAAACCTCCAGTACTTTCGCTCGTATGTTGGACAGACGAAATGCGCTAGAAATCGAATCGTTTACGGCCATATACAATCCAATTTGAATGGCGATTATACGACCCTCTTTTATTTCATTGCATGGCTCGGTAACGGCCACAGAATCTTGAACTTCCGTAGACGGTGGTCACCAGTATCCGAGGACGATAGTATATGGCGTCAAGTCAAATACAATCTACTGGAGAGCCTCTTTTGCAAAGCATTTGAATCCCACCACGGCTCATTGAACAGTAATGGGACACCAATACTCGGAGGATTTGGCTTGAATATATTATCTCCACTAATGCAAAACACACATCTCAGTGACATAGACAGGGGTTTCTGGGCCAGCCAGCTCCGTGGTTCAAGTGATCTGCAGATAAAAGCTTTCTTTAGCTTTCGTGTACAGACGAAACAGCGAGCACTACAAAAATCCCCACGGCCTATATGGACCAATGCTGACTATTTCAAAGCCCTAGATGATGCTATCAAGGATAGATCTTTGTTTACTGTTGTAGAGGCATCACTCCAAAGCAATATCTCACCTTCTATAGATTCAGTCTTAGATGATGATACCCCGTTTTACGGGACACGTTCAGCAAGCATAGGATTTGTGCTAGATGTAGCTTCCACAATTGCGGAGATCCTCACAATGATTATGAAGTGAATGTTGATGATAGTTCTCAAAGTATATTCTGCGACCTTCCATGGGCCTTAGAAGCAGCTAAATTCAACGCTAAGAATGTCCTTGTGTGGACACATAACTTCAGGCCATTCTCAGTTATATCTACATCTATTCTAAAGGACAATAAAGTTGAAGATGCAATACACGCACGCCAGCATTTGGAGTTACTGAATACAAGTAGCTTATAGGTCATTATATTGTGTGGTTTTATAGCAAAAAAGAAATACTACCACTCTTGAAGATTAGCCAGAAATACGCTTTGAGGTTACGTGGATTTTGCTACCAGCTGTATATATCGAAAATACCTCAAAGGCCAGCTGTTTATTCATCGTGTCACCAGGATTACCGTCCAAAACATGGTCAATGCCATACCTCCAAACAGACAAAGTCTGCGAGCTAATAAAATTTGCATCTCTGGTTACAAATACCAATGGTATTACGGCGTATTCCATCGAAAACTCCTCTGCACTACATATTATATTAAAACAACGACAAAAAGAGAAAGCTGGAGCCCCAAAGATGACAGTCGACAACATCAACAGTGCATTCTACTCTTGGCTTTGTCGTAAAGGCTTCACTGATCTGAAAGATATTCGAAAGTTGGAGGAGATTGCTGGATCTTTGATGCAATGTTTGTGTATACTCTTACATGTGCTCCCTAGAAAGCCTAGGCTTCATTCAAATCAGTTGCAATCTAAACAGGGAGGACACGCTTCACGTGCACCAAAATCATACGAGAAGACTGGTTCTGCCATTAAAGCGCAAGCAGAACAGCTGATCGAAAGCGTGGTAAAACTGAAAAATTCTACTTATCTTGAGAAGAGTTTAATTCCGACACAAGGGACCACCAAGTTACGGTCTCCTCTAAAATATGACGAAGATGAATTTTATATGGCTGGATATAGCTCAACTCAGGAACCTCTCTCTAAAGATTTGAAAAGAATTCGTTGTAACGAATCCGAGTCGAGTCAAGGACTTTCCGCGCCAACTATAAAGAAACTATGTTTGAATAATGCCAGCACTACACGAGATGGAAATGCTAATACTACTGATATAGCAATCACTCCTGTTAGTTATTATGAGATGGACCCCGGTGCTGATGATCTGGATTTAGAACTGAAATCTCAGCCCGAAGCAAGCCCGGATATTATCAATGAATTTGACGATGTACCACAACTATATCCAACTATTGTCGATGAAATACATGACCATTGTGTCTCTGTGAGATTTAGTGATAGTCAGATTCAGGGGCAGGGCGAACAAGAGCTGAGTGGTATATATGAGGATGAAGCAGAAGCTAAAGCTCTAGGAAGCTACCAGAAACCTGAAAATTATAGGCTGATACATCACAAAGTAAGACGAAAGACAACTCATGTTAACGATTGGAGCTTGGAACACTCTTGCTTCCGTGGGAAGCCCTATCAGTATTACCTAAACCCATCTGAGGAACGGAGGATGAGAATAGGTCATTGCCATATGCTTCTTCCGAGAAAGATGGATATTGGTGACGGACGTATTTCTCTCTTTATTGAAGTAGCTGATGAAGCATCGCAGCATCCATGGCTTTATGCAACCAATGCGACTGAGGTTGACTTGGGTCGGAGGCTGTCATTTCGAGTAGAATGCAAGGATAGGCATGGGAAAAAATACAGTTATGACCCTCAACAAGGGGGCATACGGGCAGTTTTCAAGGCAAATACCTTTCTTGATAAACTTCTCTACTCAAAGTCCAACGAAGAACTTGTTGCAACGCCACGGCGCTTTGTTCGTTATTCCAAAAATTCGGCACCGGAATCTTTGAGAGATTTCGAAGATGGTGGAAATTATACCTCGCCTGTTGAGAATGACGAAATCTTGGATGAAGATAATTACTAAGTGTTGGTACAGCTTGAATAATTCCATAAGCAAGTACAACAGACTAGCGATTTTCCTGATAGATTTCACAGCATCTCTAGGCATAAGGTCAAGAAAATTTCTGGACTAGCCGGCGAGGGGGGATGGGTCGCAAGCAGGATTGGCAGAATGAATTGTAGCATAATGATGTATTATGCATTAAAAAAGGAGCTCAGATACATTATAGAGTACTCAAATCATAATAATAGAAGCAATACCACTGAGTTATGGCTGTTGGGAGTCAATGTTTGCCCTTACGCATAAGGGGAAGGCCAGTCTTACTTCATTTGTGGTCAATATGGATGTATAGAAGTGCTGGTTTCATTAAAAAGAATAGAGAATGCGCCATAGACTTACCAATCTTATGCTTGAACAATTAGCAAAATCAGTTACAGAAATCTCGTCAGTAGTGTTGACGGTACTTTAAAATATAACAAAGATATCATTGAAGGGTAATACTACTAGCACTACCTAAGGAAGCCTTTTATTAGGCAGAAAAGTAGAAGTTTGCTAGTTTCACAGAGAGAAAATCATGAGTGTTGGTAGACACCAAGCAATAACTGAGTTGAACATGATAATACAAGGACTTATAGAGAATGTTAGGAATTGTATAGTTCATGCACTAAACTTATGAGACCTTGCTTCTCACAGAAACTTTAATATAAGGAAAAAGTGCCCGCATGCTGTCCCTTTTGAATTAATCGTTACCTAGAAGTGTATAGGGTATATGGAACGCCCTCAATGTCGTATGTATTCAAGTAAAGTCCAGATAGGGAACAATATAAGCTTGTAGAGAAATACAAGAAAGATTTCCACAAGGGGTCAAAAGAGTGAAGGAATTTCCTTCTAGGCACGTGACATATACGCTAAAGATTCGCTGCGTCGAAAAGTGAGTTGTCGCAATGACGAACCCGAAGCTGGAATTTCAACGACTATATCGACCTTCTAGTAGAACTGCTGCCGGTGAAGGAGCTGCCATGGCGACAGCGATGACTTCACCGCATGTTGCAGCAACTGAAGTTGTTGCTACAACAGCAAGTGCTGCATTCGAACAAGGCCCCCAGACTGCACACACCGCCGCGGATCATGCCGAGATGACAATCCCAAAAGAGGAATCGGAAGAGCGAGTTGAAATAAACATTAAACAAGAAAATGACGAGATGAAAAGAGATGTGGAAGATATCCCTCAGCAGCACAATCGAGACACCACGCCTACCGAGCTTCCTGATGCTTCCATTGCAGACGGCGCAAATCTCCTTCAAGA